TTCTATTGTTGACAAAACCGTCTATTTTAAAGCTTAGCAAATCATATAAATATTTAAATGCAAATGGTATAAATATTTAAACATGTAGAAATGTCTAAATCCGATATTGTATTAGAATGATATCTGTTTACTTCTTATTTTTGGTATTCATTCGCACATTCGCGACAACTTTGGTATAAAAAATTTCCTGAAAAAAGAAATAGCAAATAATTTTATTTTAATATGACTGAGATTAATTATAGAATCAAGCAAGGGAAAATCTCTTAAAAGTGAAATTTAATATCTTGAAAATGGTGCGCCATAATATTATGCGACTATTAATTAAGACTTCTAATTTATTGCATAATAATTATTTTCAAAAGTTACTTCTTGGAGGTTGAATATAATACCTTTCAAATAACGTCGTAAGAATACGATATAATATCTGTGAATATAAGATCTGTGTTTTTGGTTAAGATTCTTAAAGAGACTAATTTTGTAATCGATTTTAATAATCGTATATTAAAATTTTTTGAAAATTACTCTTTGTAATCTAACTTTTGAATGAAAGATAAAATATTTTTATTTATGACAATATATCCTCTATAATATGTTTCTAATAAATGTGTATGTATATCATATATATATTATAATATATTTATATATAATAATATATAACTATTAAACAATTATTTAATTCGCTATAATCACAAGTTTGTGCAAACGAATCACGTAATATCTATCGTTAGCTAGAGAAAACTAATTGTAAATATTGATTTACAACTCTTATTTGCTATTTAATTTTTCTACTCTTAGAAAATTATTACTTTATCTTGACACAAATATTATAAAAAAATTTATTGATTGTTACGTGTCAAACGATAAAACTATTAATATAATAATAATACGTCAATAGCAATTAGCAGGCTGTCAATATCTTAAAAAATTTCAGCAAAAAAGATGTTAGTTTGTCATAGCTTATCATCTTATTAATAATATAAATAATATATAAAGATATATAATATATAATATATAATATATAATATGTAATATGTAATATGTAATATGTAATATGAATAATATATAATATGTAAATAGTGTATAATCGAGCATCAATGAAATATAACTTTATGATGTAAAATATATAATTATACAAACACAAAAAGTTATATAAATTGTATATATTGTCCAAAAATTTAAAAAAATTATTACAAGAATTAATATGATATAATTTTTTATGTTGGAACAACGTTGAAAAAATATGTATATGAATTTATATTTTGTTCTATTTATCTGAAAACTATAATTCATCCCGCTTTAAACTCATATAATTTATATAATCAAAATATAGTAAAATATTTTGAAAAAAAGGTTTGAACGACGAACAAAAAAAGGTTCTGTATCACAGGCATCGAATAAAATGCATTTCTGTTTGTCATCGAATTTCACGATGCTTTTATTGGATTGACGCAATATCGTCATCTCGATGTCAATCAGCTCAGAAATTCATCGCGTCGGATGTCAAAGGTAGCTCGTAAAATATTCCGAGCAATCGGAATATCGTTGGATCATAGAGCAGAAATGACTTTATCAATATGCTTGGAAATGCTTAAAATTAATAATATATATTAGTATCATATGATTATAAAATTAAATCTATAATTCTCACTCTCGGAATGTTTAAGTTAAATGGATTTCAAAAATTAATTATTAATCTCGAAACATTTAAATTATGCAATGATAAAAATTATACGAAAATAATTTTTCCCAAAAAATAATTTTTTAAAAGTTAGTATACAATTTTAATAAAATTTTTGATTCTATAAGTTCTTATAAGTTATCAAAATTAAAGTGAAATAATTTGCAAATTTTTTTGTTAATAAATTGCATTTCTAGATAAATTGCGTCTATCTCACACAGAGAAACTGACACAGAGGCTGTAAACTTCATTTTTTTGCTGTATTTTTATTTCTTTCTGACACCATAGAAGACGAAAACGATATAGTGCAGCTGAATATCATGAAACTCTATGCAAAAATATTGCAAGCCGTCGTTGTTTTCTATTCTATTGTATGCACTATATTCGTCGACTGGCATTAAATAATGCAACTCGAAAATAACAATAAAAATGAATAGTTAAATATTATATTCATCATTTTAGATGAAAATATATTTTCACAAAAGCGAATATTCTCAAACGAATATGTAATACTAACAAGAAAGACGAGATAGATAATAAAATATGATAAATTAACAAATGTTTAAAAAAGTTATACAAAGAACATCATAATAATATTTGCCTCTTTAAAAGGCACAATTTTGTATAGTTTTTTCCAATTTTAATAATATTCTTTTATAATTTTTATTTTATTTTAGCAAATAACCCATAAAATATATAGTGCATTCGCACAATATATTTTATAATGAATATTTCTATATATACATGTATGGAAGTATTCATTAATCATTCATTAATGTGTTCTAAATGAGAAGTTCGCATGCCAAGAAAAATAAGTCCAAAAAATAAAAGTTTGAAAAATACAGGTTTCTGCGTTTGCTTTTATTATAAGTATATATAAATGATTATACTAGGATTGATTTTAGAAACAGATAATTTTAGTGTGATTATATTAGTTAATGATAGATCGCATTATTTGCACCTCAAATCTATTAATAATTCGAAATCGAATTTGAGTGGACTCGTACCACTTGGCATTTGGATCACTCATATACATAGAGTATAATAATCGCTTCACCTATCATGTATAGCTAGAACCGGTTAAATCGAGTAAGTTTATCGTTTTGCAATCTTCCTAATAATTAATGAGAATTAAAAAGGACCGATCAATTCGAGTGATCGCTAAAACATGAGAATCCAGCACAACTCGTATGTAATCATTATCATTTGTAAAGCGTTCTTCCTAACGTCATCCTTTCGACCTAATAACGTAATAGCGAATTGCCTCTTCTCGTTGCACGTTAATATTCGTGTGAATCAATCTTTTTCAATTAATTTCTTTTTAAAAATTGCAACGGTAGGAAAAAAGAAATTTACTATTCAATTTAATTTTGCTTGCACATAAAAGATGATACGACTATTAGCGAACACCTTGTATACAGGATGTTTGAAAAAAATTGAGTCAGCGTTCGTGAGTAGCTTCTTACGAAAAAATTTTGGCAAAATTTGAACATCTTTGAATGTGAAGCCAGCTCCTCAAGCTTTTTTTCTTAATATCTTTTTTCTACTTATGTATAAACAAGTACTCCAATTTGTCTGTAAATGTGCAATCAAAAATAATGAAATGTACATACATATTATAATATTATGGAATTAGCATTTAAAATGATATTAAATATATTTGTATATGTATTTTATTAAAATAAATTTTATAGATATTTATTCTTTTTTTCCGATTCAGTCGGAAAAAATATAACTGTAGGCAAAGAAATAGAAAAGATGGATAAAAATACAGGACAAAAAAAATAAAAAGAAAATGAGTGTAACAACATAAGTAGACAAAAAAATAAAGAAGATAAGTAAAAATACAGTATCTGGCAAAGAACCGTTTATTAAGCTGGCACAGTCATTCGGGTCGATTTTTTTTAAGGCAAACGTGAGGCAATAAACTCACTATTTTCTCCAAATAGGCTAGAGCAACAAATTAGCAACAAAAGAGTACTAAATTTATATATAAGTTTTATTCGATTGTGCTGAAGTGGTTGTGTCAGCTTAATAGACGTCAGCAACGAGTGTCATACGACAATGAAAAGATAAGAGTCGGAGAATGCACGACCAAACTTTTCGTTGTCTTGTGACACTCACCGTTAATGTATCTGGAGCACACAGTGATTCGATGTACGAGTTTCGATGTACGAAACGTGTACTCATTCGCCAACCAACTTTAATTAATATTTTAATATTACATAAATTGCAAAATGCAAGGATTTTTTTCTAGGAAAAAAATCTTCAGTTTACTGCGCTCTATCTCCTTATGAGTCTAATCTTTATCGAATACCCTATATATATATATATGTATATAATTGCTTAAGTAACACAGATATATTATAAATTATTACAGATATATTATTAATTGTAAGAATTTTGATATACTAGATCATGGCATATAAAAGAATTACATTTTATATTGTGTTTATAATTTTTATTCTCAATTAGTGCAATTTTTTTTATAGCACAAATAATTTTAAGTAATAAAGTATTAAAACAGCATCTTTTAAATAAAATATTTTTGTACATAAAATGTATATTAAAATAATATCTTTTTTATAATTTATTTTTTATATAATTTCTTTATTTATTTTGTTATAATTTTTTATGTAGTTTGTATTGTTTGGGGAATAGCACTTTTTTAACTTTTTTTAATAAGATAATCTGGATTGCGAACGTCGCTTGATAGAGCCAATTTAAATTTCTCAACAAATGCTCGCTTAATAAGCAATTTGTAGTCATTGATCTGCAGCTTTGATCGACGGGGCTGTATAATACTCTTGATGGAACTTTAACAGGCCGAAGTTTCTCCGACGCTGTACATGCGGTTTTCCATATAGAGATAACTAGAGTGTGTCACAAGAGGAATCGAGAGAAGACAACAGTCGACAAAATTTGGTTTTTGAATAACTGGAGGCAGACATGAATTCTATGATTATGAATTCTAAGAAAAAGATCTTGTACTTATATTTTCAGATTGCAAATTAATTATTGCTCTCCCTCAGTTAATTTTTTTCAGTTAACTTTTTATTCTGACATTAAAATCTTCCCTATTATCATCGTTTATCACTTCTTCATCGCCTCCATCCAGCCATTTGGTTATTTAAAAAAATTTTTTTTAGGTCTTCTTTTATATACAATCCTTCCTTTTACGTACAAACGATTCTTCACTTTCTTCTCTTATTCTTAACTTCAATATTTGAATTGCTATGTATATTGTATCTCTCATTCTTCGAAATAATAATTAACAATACTGCAACACAATAATGAATGTTTATCTTTACGACTGTTTCAGAGGAGCCTTTTCCGTGGTTCGACGATGCGTGCAAAAGAGCACCGGTCAAGAATTTGCTGCAAAAATCATAAACACTAAAAAGCTCTCGAACAGAGGTAAGTGATAATCAAATGCTAAAAAATGTCAATTAAATCGGATGTCATTTTAAATTGAATCAAATATCGCAGTTACAATTTATCATATTATTAATAATATCGATCGCTTTATTAATAATATCGATTACTAGTTTCTTTGAAATGATTTAATGTTCCATAATATAATCAGCCTAAAATTCGCAGCATTAATGCGTATCGAGTTAATATGATATAGATAGATATTTTGAAATAATATATATATTTGTATACAGGATGTTCGGTAACCGCATTTTTCGTGCAGAGCAGATTAAACCGAGTAGGAGAGTCCTTTATTGCATTCCTATCTTTGCAATAATTAATGAGAAATTAATTAAAGAAAATCAGCCATTCCGCGCGAGTACAAATGACAACTACGTATACGAATTGTGCGTAAGACTGGATCCTAGTAACTGAGCGACTTAATAATAAGCTATCTCTTCTCGTCGCGCTTGTACTCGCAAGGATTGGCTAATCTTTTGTAATTAATTTCTCATTAATTATTGCTAAGATTATAAAACGGCAGAGATTTTTCCTACTCGAACCTGCTTTACTTGCACACGACAGGTACGATGATTGTTATCGGATATTATATATAATGTGCACATGATTATGCATAATATTATGTAATATTGGCTAGATATATGGAATATTAAATCTTGAGATATGTAATTTCAGAATTTACAGCTTAAGTGTGACACGCAAACTATTCAACAAATACAGATATAATTTACTAATTATACTATTATATTATTATAATATAACAAACACGTAATATAACATGTACATTACGTGCAAAGTGCAATTAGTTGCAATTTCCTGCTCATTGAAAAAGTTATAATTTTATATCATGATAAAATCATTACCGAAATGTTATATTTCTGTTACCAAATTGTCATTTTATTTGTTATTAAAGTTACGTAATTTTATTAAATAAATATCTTTTAACAATGTGAATTCCAGACATAACAAGTTTCTGAATTAATTTTAAACAAAATTTTGAGATACTCAGTAAACACTATTATATTAATGTTATATAAAAGCAGTAAAATATTATAATAATATTTTCATCATAAATATTATCGGTAAATTTGGTTAATTTCCTACTCCTAAATACAACATATAATATATTGTGTTATTATATCGTAGTTGTATTCCCCATATAAAATTTATTCATATAAAATATTGATCATATATAGAATTGTTAAATGAATAAATAAAATAAATTATATGTGTGTATTTAATTTGTAAAAAATTCAGGATTTATGTAGAAATTTCGATTTTTAAAATTTTAAATAGGTAGTAAAACTATTTCCCATTTACCTATCCAATTTCAAATAATCTGTTTATATTTCGAGTCTTTTGTTGGGATTGTATTATAATGACAAAAAAGATAGAGATTTTGAATATATTAGTACCCGTCCTTTGTACGTTTTGTATCCAATTCGAGATGAGAAATTAAATACGAGTTAGTTAAATCTGATTTTGCCTGATAGCAGCAAGTGCAGAGAGAAATACGTATAACAATATTATATTGCAATAATTCTCTTTCTGCTACATTACTGTTGTAATGTTGCAAAATAATACATATGATATATTGCAATTTTATATCATATAGGTAACTTGCATCTTTATTTGTTATTTCCACATTATATTACTGCAACAAGTGTTTAGTAAGATACATACATTTTGAATAGATCGAAACGTACATATGTATTTTACATCTAACTGATTTTTAATATATCATGTCTTTTATTTAGAGTCTTTTATTATTACTTTTTCGCTCTAACACCTTGCGCCATGCTTTCTTAGCCTTTTTATTTTATTTTGTACATACATTTTGTTTAATTTTGTTCGAAATTTATTTAAAGATCTATTATTTCTGGCAATAGGTTATTAAAAGATATGTAATAGTTTAAATTTCAAAAATCTCAAATAATTATACACATATTTTGATACTAGAAATAAATTTTTTATCTCTCTTCCATTTATTTTCTTTAACTTTATGTTTGTTCATTTTATACTTATAATTATTAACTTAAAGATGCAAATCTTTAGACAAATAATTATTTATCCTAATGCATAAATTGTAAACATAAGTGTAAAATATATAGATAGTGTAATTTTTTTAAACAAATTGCATGATATTTTAGTTTGCTTTCATTAATTTTACAATTAGATAAATAACTTTTCTTAATAAATAAATGCTCTATTTTGTTTGCATATTTTAATGATTCTTCAACGTAAGCGAAGTAGTTATATAAAGTCATTTTTTTCAAATACTTTATTAAATTTAAAATTTATTTGTTTCTTAATAAGAATTTTACTCGATATTTGCTGCATATTTGCTACTACATCTTAACAAATAATGTCACAAGTCGATTTTTATTGTATTTTTGCTTTCATACTGTGCCCACAATTTATGCTGCTAAAAAGTAAGCGATTGCACACAGTGAATAAGAATTTGCTGCAAAATTTGATTATAATTGGGTTTGCTGTCATACAACTGATATGCTATTGGCATTTTATTATCTGGATAGAATCATGACAAAGGAAATGTTTTGGAATTTTATACATATGCATAAGGTGTCCCTTTTTAGTGACTTTCAATTCTATTAAGAAATAGATATGGCATTCCTATTTTTTATTGTATATTCTTGTAAAACTGACATTCAACCGTTTTAAAAACGATCGTTACAAGTTAAAAATTCTTTTATTTATTAATCCATGAATATTTGGCAAGACCTTCTTTTCAATATGTGGAGTTTACTGATCTAATTTATGTACATTTCGCGTATGTATGCATACAATATCATTAAGAAAAAAGTGCATCTCATCTTAGCCTTTCATTAACCAACCCAATTATTCGGGATTGCATAATTTCCTGCCGCAAAGCAGGTGCATTTGCTTCTGTTCCTTCCTTTCTTCCATTTAATTTATACCTATATATTGGGTATGTGATGAGAAATTCATCATGAAATTCATCTTTAATTACGCTGCGTTAGAAATGAGGAAAATGTTTAGAACTTGTTCAAGATTTTTAGAGAAAAGATATTAATACTCTCGATAAGATAATTAACTCTTAGCATAAAAAAATCGAAAATACAGTGAAAACTTAAAGTAACATATCGGGATTCTAGTTTGTTGCAAAAGACAAAATAGCAGAAGGATAAGAGAGAAATCTTTTCTCTATTTCATTTTACTTTTTTCTTCTTGATTCTTCTTCCTTTCCTCTTACACTTCTTTTTTATTATCTTTTGCCCTTTCGGTTATGAACCGTTCACTTGTGTGATTCAATTCAGATTATGACCTTGCTCCAGTGACCTTTTGACCTAATGGAGGCCACAGCCTCTGTAATATGGTACGCGCAAATAAACCTCGTATCCAAGATAGAGCGAGAAGTATAAATAAATGAAACAAGTCAATAGTTGGGAATAGGAAAAATTCTTCGATTTCTTCATGATTCAAGCTCCTTTCACTATAATTTCTTTTTATTTTCGGTTTTGACACTGCGCATTCTTATGTGACATATAATCTTGATCGTTGTCTCTCACTATTGGAATTTTTTTGTTTCTTTTTTGTGATCCAAATTATGACACATGTATTCAGAGTCATTCTTCATATTTTCAAACTATTTAAGTATAATTCTGCGAAAACAAAAAAGATCATTTTTTGTTTTTATATTTATTTATTTACGCAACGTTTTATTTTCATAATGAACAATAGATGCTTGATTTGATCAAGCATCTATTAATGCATAAATTAGTGCATAAAGCATTAATGCACGATTAAATATGAAAAAATGTCAGATAATTAAAAATGTACAACTAATAAAAATAATTAACAAACTATGGATAACAAATCATTTTTAATTTTTAGTTTATAATATTAATTGCTAACTTTTACAAATATCATTTGTGACAAAGCTTATTTAAAATTTTTTTTAAATATGTTATTTTTTCATGAATTTAACGTACAAATTTATTTTAAAAATAAATTTTTTTGCGAATACATTTTGAATATATTTTGAATTGAAACGAACAAACATATGCTTATGAAGGAAACCTTAAATAAAATAGGATACCTTTATTGTCTTCGATAAAATAATATATTGTTACTCCCCCCGATACTATTATCATGCACGACTAATCAAGGATGGCTTCGCGCTTTCTTCGTAACGGCACGGCCATATCGGGATCTTGCATTAACAAGCACGACGAACGGCAATTTTTATTACTGACGCTTCCGTGACATTCGTGCTTCATCGGATGAGAAGCGTGTAACATCGCATGAACGCTTCCCAAGGATCGACTTTGCGACGGAACAGATCAACCTTCCGACGATAAGGCGTTTATACGAGCATTCGAAGGACGCGTCCTGGTATTCATTTTTCCGATAGAATCTTTGATATATGTTTGCCGGATAAGCGAAATTGATTGCGTTCTTTTTGCCGAAATGCGATTTTTTTCAAGATATTACATCACACAAATGTCTCATAATTCGAACATTATATATGTTTTTCTTAAGTAATAAATTCTTTCACGCAAGCTAAAGTGAATAAGATTTACAATACTAATTAATAATTAATTATTACATTCACAATTATAATAATATGTATATTTGATGATAAATTGCTCACATTTTCAAATTTTTTAAATGAATAATAACGTCGCGTCAAATATAAATATAAAAAAATTACATATTATTGTATGCATAACTCTTATAAAAATTATTTAAATACATATGCTTGAAGACATGTTACAAAGTGCTCTATAGTGAGATAAAAATAAGAAAATACTTTTTTCTAAACCTGTTTGCTGCATAATCTATCGGAGATAATCTGCTTGAACAGCACGAATACATATTCATGTGCGTGTACGCATATATACCTGCATATACGTGTATGCGTATGCGTGCGTACACACGTGTGTGTATGTGTATCATGCAATTTTCCTCTTGTATTTTTATCCTTTTATAGATATATA